GCCTCACAAATTCTCTACACATACTCCCTAAAACAACGATGGGGAAGATGATTATGTCTTGGATCTACAAGATAACTCTACAAGCATATCGATGGCTGAGTGGAAGATCGAGCTATCTCGGCAGCCAGTTCGAAAACGCCCTATCTCAGAAAACGTTTCAAGAACGCCCTACTTCAGAATTTGATTGAAAAACGCCCTATTTCAGAATTTTATTAGAAAACACCCTATCTCAGAATTTGGTTGAACAACGCCCCATCTCAAATGAAAATACATTGAAAATAAGCTGAGATAGGGTGTTCTTCAACCAAATTCTGAAATAGGGCGTTTTTCAATCAAATTCTGAAGTAGGCCGTTCTTGGAAAGTTTTCTGAGATAGGGCGTTTTCGAACTGGCTGCCGAGATAGGTCGGTTTTCCACTCAGCTATCGATATACAAACTACATCTAAAAGTAGGAAGAGGGACGCTCGAAAAACCTCTCACTAAAACATTGTTGCCATACCACTGCAGCGTTTTCCAAGCAGCTATAAAAGAGGCTGAACTTTGGGTTATCTTATCCTCCCTTAACCTGCCTTCCGCAACCATCTATTCTGATAGTTAAGCAGCTATCGGGTCTCTGTACTGATGTGAAAGTCTCAATAATGGCTGCAGAATGCAGGAAAGTTCTTAATTAGTAATTTTGCTACGGATGTACTTCAGGTGCCATGCCATAGAGACATGAGGGCATACCTCTATCTTTATGCAAATAATGACTTAAATAACACTGTTCGAAAAGGCAAATGGTTGACAGAACTTGGACCTGATAAGAGATGGTCCCACTCATTCATTCGTCTCGAACGTCCTCTACTCAGGCAAGTTACGGACTTATAAACGGCCACTGACATGCTATTAAGACGGCTCTACCGGCCAATGACACCTACTGCAGTTGCCGATATTGAATCAATAAAGTACATTATCTTTCCCTTCCCTAGAAGAGACTCATTTTAACATTAATTCCATGACTGTCTCGCGGACCCAAGTGGTACAGGGGCTCATGATTTTTTTTATTAATATAAAAATTTGGTTATAGTTCTAGGCCAGCGGACGAACCGGTATCTCAACTAGCCAAACTTCAGCCTGGCTTAAACATGATGCCGCTTTCAAACAACGAATGATCTCCTTCATAATAAAAATATGGCGGAGATTTGCCGCTATCTTTAATATGCCTCGGTTGAAAGAATACTCCAAATTTATAACTCAAGGCTTTAGTTTGAACTTTCTACGTATTGAAAAGTCCATTGTGGTGTATTCATTCCATACCAATTTATTAGATACTAAGTATGGTTATTCGGTTTCCTTAGTTTAAAATTACGTTTTTTACATACTTACAACGAAAGTGGTTTAATTTTTGTCTTCGAAAATTCACTTAAGACAAATTCATAATCAATTTTTACATAAGTAAATGTAAAATTAACTGAAGGATAACACTTGCGTACATATGTGCATATGAAGGTATTGATATATGCATGTATATTCAGAAGTAAGGAATTCCATGAATTAAAAACAATTGCTTTGTGTTGACACGTCCTTGAGGATTAAATGAAAGTCAAGGAACAAAAATTGTATGTATGTGTGTGGTTACTTGCTTTCAAACCGCTACGAAGACCGAACTTGAAGAGTTAACCAAACGCTTACATTAAATATATTTTTGCTTCTTGCAATATACGTATGTATTCCCCATACATAAGTATGTTTTTACATCTAACTCAATTCGAATGAATTGCTGTCGGCATTTTGCTTTTTTCACTTCCTTCCCTTCACCTTATTTTTGTACCACCACTGTGTATTTTCCAGTTTATCTTTAAATCTACTGAAAGCCACAACTGTGTATTTGTGGTCCCCAAGCAATCCATTCCTCAATCCAAATTTAGACGTACAGTACAAATTTATTGCAGTAAGCTGTGAGGAGGCTCGCAATGTGTATTATATCTGTGTGCACTTGTATTCGTAAATGCTTACATACAGTGGCGGTCAAAAGACGATTAATGGTGTTTCGTTTTTAATATTCACAATGTTTTTCAAGCTCAAATTGGTTGATATTTTTTTAATAAAAAATGGTTCATGCTTTAACAAAAACCGTATAAATCACACACAATTTTTATCTAAATCTCGAGTTTTTAACCAGAATTTTTACAAATATTTTGGGGATGCAGTTACCAGGCTTATAAAATTTGCTCTGACGGCATTTGCGTTTTTTTTCATAAAAATTGCGAAATTTAGGAAAACTGGCGTTGACTAATATTCTTCCACAAGAAACTCATGTTTACATGGAAGAAAGTGGAAAACGCCGTCAACAAAAAAAAAACTATATTAGAAATCAATGCGATTATTTAGCCGCTCAAAATTTTATAAGACTGTTAACTGTATACCTAAAAAATTTATATAAATTCTGCATAAAGTTTGAAATTGTGATGTGCAGGGAACGGATTTTTAGCACCTAAAAACCTATAAAAAAGGCAAAATAAAATAACGAAATAGACTGGAAAGGCAAAATGAAATAGCGAAAAAGGCAGGAAAAGGCACTAGGTGTTGCAAAAAAGGCAAAACAAAATAGCGAAAAAGGCAGGAAAACGCACTAGGTATTGCAAAAAAAGCAAAATAAGGCCCTAAAAGGACAGTAAATACGAAGAACAATCAAAAAATACATTTATTTTAGAAAAAGAGAAAAACTATGAACTAGTTTCATTATATGAAAAATTTGTACTTTGAATCTTTGACTATTTTATTCTTTCGGGTTTTTTAACTCATAAAACTTTAATCTGTATAGTTGTAGTAACATTGAACCACAAGATGCATTTTGCAGTATTCTGGCAGCATTTTCATTCGATTTTCGTGAAGAAAAGCTTTAAATATACTACATGTGTGCTCGACGTAAGTTGATACAAGTGGAGCCAAATTTAAATATGGAACGTTTGAAACGTTCATATTATCAGGAATAAGGGCGTTTTCCTCGCCATCCAACAATTTTATCCACACCCCTTATTGTATCCAAGCCTACGTTAGCTGAGAAAACGGATTTGAATGTTTNTTTTATAAGACTGTTAACTGTATACCTAAAAAATTTATATAAATTCTGCATAAAGTTTGAAATTGTGATGTGCAGGGAACGGATTTTTAGCACCTAAAAACCTATAAAAAAGGCAAAATAAAATAACGAAATAGACTGGAAAGGCAAAATGAAATAGCGAAAAAGGCAGGAAAAGGCACTAGGTGTTGCAAAAAAGGCAAAACAAAATAGCGAAAAAGGCAGGAAAACGCACTAGGTATTGCAAAAAAAGCAAAATAAGGCCCTAAAAGGACAGTAAATACGAAGAACAATCAAAAAATACATTTATTTTAGAAAAAGAGAAAAACTATGAACTAGTTTCATTATATGAAAAATTTGTACTTTGAATCTTTGACTATTTTATTCTTTCGGGTTTTTTAACTCATAAAACTTTAATCTGTATAGTTGTAGTAACATTGAACCACAAGATGCATTTTGCAGTATTCTGGCAGCATTTTCATTCGATTTTCGTGAAGAAAAGCTTTAAATATACTACATGTGTGCTCGACGTAAGTTGATACAAGTGGAGCCAAATTTAAATATGGAACGTTTGAAACGTTCATATTATCAGGAATAAGGGCGTTTTCCTCGCCATCCAACAATTTTATCCACACCCCTTATTGTATCCAAGCCTACGTTAGCTGAGAAAACGGATTTGAATGTTTCCAATACAAATTCGGCAAGAGGTCCCTGCGCTTCTATAAGGCAAAAAAAGCAGATATCTTAAAAAAGGCAAAAAAAGGCAAATATCTTAAAAGAGGCAAAAAAAGGCAACATAAAATGTGTATATATGGAATCAGGGAAAGCTAAATCGTGGACATTCTTAATCAAATATACTTAATCTCTTTAGCAGAAAAAAAGGCAATTTCCATAAAATCCGTTCCCTGGTGATGTGTATGGTTTTAGGTAAAGCATGAATAATATTTTAATAAAAATATATCAAAAAAATTTGCGCTTGCAAAGCTTTGTAAGTAGTAGAAACGAAACACAGTTCATCCATTTTTGACCGCCACTTTACATACATGTATGTACTTCTTTTCAGCAGTTTTATTTATATGCCAAATGTTATTTTATCACTTTGTTTGGCCAAATTAATCTGATTTGAATAAACATGTATGTGTGTTTGTACCTAAATAACATCAAAATAATTTTGTGGTATTTCTGAGTTATTTTCTTCATAGAATTTTTGCTTTTATTCTCCTCTCATTTTCATTGGCCGGAGAATGTGTTGAGTATTCTTGCAATCAGTGAGGGTGCTAAAGGCAAATTCAGGTATTTGGGTTTGTTATTTTCCGACCAATGTTAACTCTGTTTGATAAGCATTCCTTATAGCCTTCCTTATTAATTTTCTTATATTTTCGCTCCTTACTTTTTTCTTTTAAATGTTGTACTTACTTGTGTTGCCTTGCTCTAAATTTTCTAGATTTTTTTTTATTTTTACCAACATCAACTCTCGAAGGTGTTAATCCGTTTTAGCGTAAAAGTTGCCAAACACTTGGCAGCATGAAAGCTTCTCAAATTACTTTTCGACCATGTTTACGGCCATCCAATAGAAGTTCAGCAGTTCACAAGTATTTTGCGCCGAGCAACTAAGAAAATATTTATACTCTTTGTTTGTCATTCCAGTTTCTTTTTTCGTTCTCATTTATTTTATTGCCACTTTCTAGCGGTTGTTACAAGTTTCAAGCTCGCCTTGCCCTCCTCTACCAAATTGAACTTTGTTTTCGTTCTTGATTGTAGCAGCTTAAATTGTGGCTGTAATAGTAATTTACAATTTAATTTACTATGTTTTCCTTGCATAAATATTCATACATATATGTATACATACATATGTATTACAAATATGCATACAAGTCTACTTGTCTAAATAAAATAGCCAATCTTGTTTTATTTTGGCTTTCTTCCGTCTTTATTGCAGCCTTCGAGTTGTCTGTCGGACAAGGAGGAGGACGAGATCTACGGGTTCGGTTACGGTGTATTTGCGCCGCGTGTTGCACGTGGCGGCCTCACCCAGCAGCAGCAGTTACTGCAACAACATACGTTGCAGCAACAACAACAGGCCCAAGCACAACAACAGCAACAGCAATTACCATTAGTGCCAGGTAGCCAACAACATTTGCAACAGCAGCAACATCAGGCTCTGCAAACTCATCAAACTCTCCCGCCAAACGTAGCACACTTGAATTTCCTGCAGCAAAAGTAAGTCGTCACATATTTCTTGTTTCTACTTTCGCTTACACTTTGATCAACACCTAACCATTTGTAATCTCTTATTTATAATTACAGTTGCTTAAGTCCAAGATCAGCGTATTTCTACGAATTTCCACCTAATGCAGGTAAGTCCGTGAATGACTAAAAGCATTCGGTTCATAAGTGATATAAGTAAATATACTGTGATTTGTAGGAAAAAAAAATGAGTCTAAAATATGTGATTGGAAAAACTTGCGTAAGCAGATAGAGAGTATGCAATATTTTCCGAATAAAGGAAAGCGATAAGCGATATCAATGTAGGTTATGTTAGGTTGGAATGATATCCAGGAAGTCGGCATACGGCATGACGCAAGAAAAAAGTTGTTCTGAATAGCTTTTCAAAAGCTCTAGAGTTCTTGAAAAGGAAAAAAGGTTCTGCCAGATTCACGTAGCATACGATATGTAGCAAATAAAAACCTGCTTTGAGTAGCTTTTCAATAACTCCAGAGTTCTTGAAAATTAAAAAATAAATTATGCAAAATTACGTAAAAATATTTTTTCAAATGGTCGAAAAAGTTGATTGTTAAAAAAAAAATATAAACTGTTCTGAAAAAAAAATCTAATAGTTAACTGTATGAAAAACATAAAAACTAAAACTTTTTAGTAGCTTTTTAATATTTCTAGAGTTCTGGAAAAAGTAAATTCTGCACATTACGCCAAAAAAAAACTTTTTTTTAAGTCGAAAAAGATAAATTAAAAAAAAAAATACTGTCAAGAGTAGCCATTCAATAGTTTTAGAGTTCCTGGAAAGGAAAAAACTGCAAACTTACACACAAAAAAAAACAATTTTTAAAACAGAGGAAATAGTTAAGTTAAAAAAAAATATAAAAATTAAAACAGTCAGAAAAGTTTTAATTCTTTTTTTTAGTTAATACTTTTCGACTTTTTCAGAACTTTTTACCTTTACAGGAACTCTAGAACTGACGCATTAAAATGGGAAAATTTTTGAAACATTTTTTTTTTTGTCAAAATATTCAGAACTTTTTTTTCGTTTTCAAGAAATCTAGAGCTGCTGAAAAGCTACTCAGGACAGCTCTTTTCTGTCTTTTTGCATTTTACAGACGTGTTGGAATAGTTGAAGGATATGCCCACTAGGGATGTTAATTTTTTCGATTTTTTGCGATCCCGGGATTTTCGGGACATCATTCATACAATCGCGGGATTAGTCCCGCGATTTAGATATTCATTATTTTCCAACAACTTAACATGAAAAATTGTATCAATATAGTTTGAGAGAGTTTGTCCTACCATATAATAAATAATAAATAAATGGGTTTGAAATCTACTTTATTATTTGACAAAACAAAAGGCAGTAATTAAATTTATACGCATTTAACAATACTTTAGCGGGTACATATCTGATAAAAATACTTCGAAAAAAGCTCAATGCAAAAAAAAACTTAAGGCAACATTTGTATTTGTGGCTGAAAGAATTTCATAATACTAGTGGCAGAAATAAAAGAACAAACGTCGTATTTCAACCAGCTAAGTCTATATTTCTTTTCATTATTTAATATTTAAATTTTTTTATAAAAGTCTACCTTATTTTATATATAGTCAAAATTTGTACAAAAATTATAACAGTGTTAAAAAAATTGTCCAAAATTTCAAGCTTTTTACTCAGCATTTTTTTTTAATTTTAGATACGCAAAATCAACGTTAGTCCTTGAAACTTTCGCTTTATCCTCCTGTTATTTAATGGGCTATACTTATATCTCGTTCTCGTTCATTTATATATATATAAGGAAAATTTGAAAGTTAGAGGGGGCTCGAGCACCCCCCTGCCCCTACCTGGCTACGCCCATGGCTAATATAATTCTTCTCTGAAGTATGTTGCTAAAAATCTAAGCTGTTTTCATCGTTAAAAACTGATCTTTTATGTATTGGGATCCAAGAATAAAGAGCGGTTGCCATAGATCTACCTCTACAGAGGGGTGCGGGGCTTTTAATAGAATGCCCGCCTTAATTTGGAATTTAATATGGGATTTTAAATTTGTCTCCAGTATTTTTAACGAGAAGTTACGTATTTCCTTAAAGTCACTTGATTTAGTATACTAATTAAACAAGGATGGTAGAATACAAGATTGCGCCCATCAGAGAGGATTTTTGAGTATAAGTTTGGTGTGACTTCACACTGGTGCAGTTGCGAGAGAAAAATGACAAAACGCGAGAAAGAATGGAAGAAGAAATTTTGCAAGCCAAACGTAAACCAGTTACACAAGTGCGACATCATACAAACAGCGATTCTGTCAAATTCACTGAGATGGGCGCCACCTTTGCTCTCTACATCGTGCTACGAGTTAAACTATTTCTATATGGTGTGCTTCGCGTTTGGTTGGAAGAAAAGCTTACCTACATTATTTTCGAAGCTTATCGAGATTAGTTTATGGGCCCCACTTATTCCGTTCGAGAGCAAGCTATTCTAAGGCTGGATAATGAAAAAAAATTAGATTTTTGAGGTGAGGGAGGCCCGGCTTATATTTATTACCGGGCCTGGATTTTCTCTTGACGGCCCTGAACGTAATTGCTAATTGCAATTTAGGCTGAATATGAGAAGCAACCATTCCTTAATTATCGGAAAATAGAATATTTTGTTCATTGGAATAAATGAATAGGAAACCAGTAGCTCGTTTCTGTAAATTTTCTCTACCGATTATTTCACTATTGGTAGAGAATATACGTCATTCTCTACTACTCATTAGCATTAGAGAACAGGGCGGCTAATTTATATCTCAATTCGCCTTGGTAGATAATTGTTACAGAAACGAGCTACAGATTGCCCTAGAAATAGCTATAAAATCTTGTAGGAAAAGTGTGTTCTTTTCACTTTATGAAATAAAGTTTCTCTGTAGTACATATTAATAGTACTTATTTCTCCAGTTAAAAACAATTATTTCGTGACTCTTAAAATTTTGTAGTCCATAAAATTTCCTAGTATGGCGTAAAAATAGTTTTGCCTTATAGGTTTCTTTTATAAATTTTCAACGCATTCATCGGATGTCTTTTAACTCAATTCCTCAACGTTTCTCATGCGCAAATATTTTCTTTTTTCAGAAGGTCGCGAGACCAAAAAACGTACCACCTTAGCGAGACTTTTGAAAGGTCTGAAAACAGTAAATCGACGAGATCGAAACAATCAGCAAACTGCCGCACAAGTAAGGGTAAGTTTAAAGTATTTTTTATTATATCCTCATTCAAAAAATATACATCTATCTACGTATAAAACCTTGTAACGAATCTGTGAACCAAGTCCGCTAGGATTTGAGAGCATTTAAAGATGTTGAGCAAGGGTGCTTGAAAGAAGGGCTGCCAAGTCTATTTCCCTGTGACTTTTTAAAATTATTTGGCTTATTTATTTATCTTATTAAAAACTTCCCATGTTTCCCATGTTCCCAAGGCCAGAAATCAATACGTGCTGAATTCGAAAATAGTTCGAAATTTGTAAGCACTTCCAAAATTTGAAACCGGAAAAAGGAGAAAATTAGGTGTTGTCATGCCTTAGCCCAAATTAAGGAAAACCACTCAAGGTTTGGAGCCCCAACTTACTAACTCTATGAAAATTATGTAGATAACACTCCTAACTTGGTGATTCCTAGTCCAACTGGAAAGTTTCTACAGAAAATAATCGTTGTAAAAAAATAACATAAACATATCGAAGGTCCTCTGTCCTTAATCCTTATATAGTGCATGTCCAACCCTTACTAAAGCAAGTAGTAAGAATTACTAAAATAATTATATAATAGAGACATGAGCCACTTAACAGTAGTAAGGGTTTTTATTTTTTGAATGTTGAATTGTGTCGTCATTGCAGATGACCACGACATGTGCGTATTTTGTATGAAAAATGTCCACTAGCACGAGAGTAGCGCATGTGCACTCATTTTCTTTATGGCTGCCACAATTTTTTTTTTTAATACATTTTTCATAATATTTTTCTTTGTTTATTTAACAGTACAATTGTCCTCTTGGTACCGCCAATCAAAGTCGTTGGAGTTTGCCCTTTAAATGCTTTTTTGCATAGTCTTGTTTACACTTTTTTAGCTCTTAGGGGTTTTTATATCTCCGCTGAAACGAAGAAAAAAAACCTCTTCGCATGTTTTCTTTTTGTTGTCATACTTAATATCCACCCTAGAGACCTGCACATTTTTTTTATATGTACACACGCTACATAGCCCGCAACCACCTGGTCCCAGCACCACCATTCTTCTCTGTCTTTTGCGCTTTCAAAAGTGTTTGCAGTGCAGAGGTTAAAGGCGCCGCCGAAGCTGTCGTCGCCTGCTCCTAAGTTTATCTGCTATTCCAAAAGGATTCATTCAAGACATCCTTTTCTTTGATTAAACCAACATTTAGCAGGGGTAGCATAAAAGGCTTAAGAAGAAGGCGGTAATGTCTTAAAAAATGTTAAATGCGCAAATTCTTGGCAATGAAATAGTCTCAGTGGCGCTGACTGGGCGATAGCTTTGGCAGTCGAGATAGCGCACAGCCGAGTAAACAAGTGTTTAACACCCCCAAGTACAGACATAAATAACGCGAAAGGATAGAAGACACCAGCACAAGTGCACACATAAAGATAAATATTTTATATGCATTGTACCTGTGTGTACAAAAACTTCGGTTGAAAAGCTGCCAACAAAAACCTTCGCAACTTCTGCGGCGCAAGTGGTTGGACGTCACAAAATGCGGAAGCAGTAAATTCAGTGGAAGCAAATTGCGATTAGGCTGCCACCGCCAGCCGTTTAGTATGTATATGTAGCTTGAAATGTCTAATTAAAAAATGAAGAACGATCTGAACGTGCAATAAATGAAGCGAGCCAACCTGAATTCTACGCAAGATGTGGTACTAAAATTTCACGATAAGCATGTCTTACAAACTGACCCAGAGACAAGCGAAATTAATTGATTTATAAAAGGTAGAAAAAAGTTAAAAAAAAAAATTGTATCTGCGAAGATGGCTAAAAAAATTTTTGGAAATATGTTCGACTTGAACGATACACATGGGGCACATTGTTTGTAAATTACGTTGAAACGCGCGAACTGTTTTCGTTAATTTCATAATTTGATATTAATTATTTAGGAAGACGGCATGAAATACTACAATAAACCCAGAAGTTGAGTTAAAATGGAATAAGCGAACGAATAGTGTTGAATGGTATTTAGTTATGGTAATCTATTTTTTATACCCGAGCGCACTTGTGCGTAAAGATATTATAACTTTGTTCACATAACCGTTGTTTGTAACAGCTGAAACGAATCGAGATAGATATAGACAAATGTATACTTAAATGCTCTGAATGAATAGAAAAGGTGATTAAGCCATATCTGTCTGTCCGTCCGTCCGTCCGTCCGTCCGTGTATACAATAACTCGAAATTTGTTATGTTGGCTGCCCTTAATCCAAGATAGTTTGGTATTGGAAATGGGCGAAATCGGACTGTAACCCCCTTCTCATATAACAGTTTTTTCGAAAAATTCAGGAACTACGATATTTCAGTAAATATTGGATCCAAATGGTTGAAAATTAGTATGTGAAGTAGAATTTTGGTGAAAAATATCATTATTATAAAATTTTAGGAAAATGGGCGTAACTTATGATCAAATGTTGTATCTCCTGATACGAGCCTTTCCTACGGCAAATGGATTCTGAAAGAAGAGCAGGTTCTGTAATTTACCGGTATATTCGAGAAGTAATGAACGCAACATTCTCTGCGATGCCTCATTTTGTTTGCCATGACCTGGTTATGAACACAAGTGGTAGTGTTAAAAAATCGCAAAATTTTTTTATAAGAAATAATAAACTTTTAAAGCGAGATTTTCGGATTTTCTCTCAGTTTTTTAAAAATTTTTTTTTAATATCTGAAAATGTAAATGTCAGATCTAAAAACTCTCTCGTCCATCGCGTTCAGCGATCTTGAAAACATATTGCACGACCTTAAAATACTTCAGTTTCGTGAGGGTTTTCGTGTGCTCACTGATTCAAGGAAGAGTAATTTTAAGCAAAAAAATTAATTTGCATTTTTACAACAAAGCCCCGCCACAATTGTTTCGCTATGTATTCTGACTCCCAAGGTTCGGAGTATGCAGTTCTTCCTCCGCTGATATCCTTGAGGAGGCAGACGCTAATGTAACATTTTTATCCTTGGGCAACTGTACCAGTAGCAAATTCAGCAGGAATGTCTTGCCAGTTCCCCCTGGTATGTCCAAGAAATAAAGACCGCGTTCTCCGCTCTCCCCGCGGCTCACAATTTTATGGTAAATTTGCCTTTGCTCGTGAAATAGTTTGGGTTCTGTTTCGGTGACTTCAGCCGCCAAGTTCGTGATGTTGTAATCAACTCATTGAATAGCTCATTGGACAGTTCTCCCATTCCTTCTTTTCCACCATTGAGAAAAGTTTATCCTCAATTAGTCTCAGAGCTTCGTCGCCATGTGTTGTTTCTTGCAAGGGTTTGAAAGTCCATAAAGCTTACTAAAACCTCTTCCGTTTGGCACCTATATTTAAATATTTCATTTAACTAGTCGATTAAAATTATTTTAAATTTCTAAACGGACAGCAACTCTCTTCAAAGATATTCTCGAAAGAAAACTTTCTTAACCCTCTGTCGTAAAATGGTAATGTTAAAGGAGGTTAGCATTGTCTTGGGCTTCTTCAATTAGGCTGAATTTATCTTCTCTTCAAAGGAACGCTACCTCTTACCTACAAATGATCATAATTTCACTACCTTCAGTTGTGAAATCGCAGCAAAGTCCATTTAAATGTGTTCGTTTGATTGAAAGCATGCTGAAACGACAAGGCAGTAAGAAAGGCCAGTTTTTACAAATCATAATACGTTTCAAAGCAGGGTTGAGCTGAGCTGTAACGACATATGAAACAAATAAGAAACCAATATCATTTTCTTATGTCTTATCGGAAATAATGAAATAACAATAGCGTCGACTGTAATGACAGTTGCAACTTTTTGATATAATTTGCAATGAAATATCTGTCAAAACAGCTGGAACTATGTTTAGAATCGACTTTATTTTAACTATGAATATGCCCTAAATTTGTTATAAAATTTGTATATATTAACATGAATACAAAAAAATAATCAAACGTTTATCTACTTAACGTATTTTCTAGGCGGCGAATGAACGACTGAGACATTTTCAAACAATGAATGGTGGACAGCACCAAAGTTTTGAAGAGACAATCCATAGGGTAAGTTTTACGATTTTTACAGTACACATCCATATATATGTTATATATGGTGGATTTCCACCAGGCATTAAATGGGAAAAATTTTAAACTCAAAACTCAAAAATCATTAAACTCATTTTACACGTGGCATTTTTAAGTTCCTCCAATTTTGTGTAATTTCCATGTCTAGTGGAATAGTGGATAAGTTTGCAATAAGAGAAAACCTTTTACAAATTGATGTGACTCATTTGAATAAGATAGCAGACACAGTCAAAAAAGGTTAACAATTTTGGTTGATTAAATCTATATATTACACCGAGCGATAGTCAATATTTCTTGATTTTAAATTAAAAAATAGGGGTATATTTTTATCGATACAGAACAATCCTAGGGAGTAAGAGCATTAAAATTTCGACTTTACTCATTTTGGACAAACCTAATGTACATACAGAGTATGTCTGTACGTCTCTGTAACGTACTTACATTCTAAAGAAAATTAATTTAGTACCTGAGATATTGACAGCTCATATTGGTTTCGCAATTTCCTTCTTTGTGTGAATGGCCTGAAACAACAACAATTTCGTTCAGAGATTTTTAGCGTGTTATGGCTGCTGTGTTGGATGCTTCGTAAGGATTATTACAGCCATGTATATCGCAGAAAATTTGTATCAAGAGACCTGCACTGAGCGAAATGTTTAATAAAAGACAAACCACTACAAGTTTTCATTATTTGCCATTACAATAATGTAAACAAATATAGATGGTAAACTGAAAAGTTTCCTAGAAGCTTACCGGTCTAAGACCGGACTCTGCGTAATCTATCTGGTTTACATTCTCCTCTCCGGGTAAGATATTCGTTAACGCGTCATATAAGTGCCGCCCGCACTTGGTACTGGTACGTAGTCCAGCCCCGGAAGCTCTGTAACTTTAGATGTGAAGAAGAAAATCCACTGCAGTACTGGTTTCAAGCCCTGGTCAAAGAAACACCGCAACAAATTCTGAAAAAAGGTTTTTTCTTAACAGTGGTCGCCCTTCGGCAGGCAATGGCAAACCGCGGAGTATATTTCTGCCATGAAAAACATCTTCTCACTTAAATACACTCCGTTCGGAGTCGGCGTAAAATTGCAGTTCCCTCCTCTTTGTATGACAACATCAAGGCGCACTCCACAAATCGGAGGAAAAGCTCGGCCAAATACTAACATATGTGTAAGCGCCAATTTGGTAATTTATATATAATGACTCGATGATGCAGCTGTTATTGCGCCTCTAATGAGTATACTTCCTAACCATTGAAACTTGTCAGCTTTTTAGGCTAAGTTCCCTTCAAACAATCGCTCCACCATACTTTTATACTGCAGTAAGGGAACGGAGTGAAAAAATTCGTAATACTTCAATCGAGAAATAAAGAATGTTTCGGCAGCATGTAAAACTGAACTCAAAGAGAGAGATTAAATTGAATAACTTACCTACAAGGTGGGGCGGCCCCAAGCGTGCGACAAACGGATGTGCGCAAATTTCATAACCCTCATGCGAACTATCCAGCCCCAAGAATAATAAAAAACAACAATAATAACATTAGAGTCAGTCCCTAGCGTAATGATATTGCTACAACAACGGAACAGCAGTAGCCAAAAGTATGAAATATTTAAAAGTTCATTGCCGCCAACATTCATTATTAATGACAAAGGAAGCAAAAAAGCAACAAAATATGTATACAACAAAAGCATTATTGCTCATAAAAGCAACAAATCTGCTGTACCCTGGTCCCAAAAATTGCAAAAGCGACAACAAATAAGAAATAAAAACAAGAAAGTACAGTACGAGGAGTGAAAACATGTAAAATAAGAGAAAACCTGTACGCTCGCACTTACACAGCCGGTTTGCGCCACACGTGCAACTTCCCGACAGACACAATGCAATAAAGATGTGAGCATAAGAGCAAAGCAACAGCGGCGCCGATGGGCAGGTGTGTTTTCTTGGCTGTGGTGGGTAATTGTTATCGTTGCCTGCTATTACCGTTTTTTCATACCACTTTTGTCCTTGCTATTTCATGTATAATGCATATTTTCCCCTAACACTTCGAGAATATGCTACACTGTTGCAAAAAAGTCACTATGTGCCTTTGCTCTTATGTATCTGCCGTTATTACTGAACCATGTGCGACGACAAAATTATGCTACCAACGTCATGCACTGCTTTAGATTTTTGCTGTTCTAACCAACAAATGTTGAATAAACTTTTGCTTGTTGAATTTTTTTTTTTTGTCCCATTCTCAGCTCCTATCAACCTATACGTAACGCCATCTCAGCTGAATTTCAATACAAACACATGCCGTTGCTTAACGTGTATGCAGGAGCGTCATGCCTTTCATGCAATTTGCAGCAACGCATCGTTATTTTGTCGTCACCATTCAATTCCCCGTCACTAAGGTACACAGCTTCGTCTTATCAGCTGCTGAGCTCCTTTTGTTGCTGCTGATTGTCGTCACTCTGGTTCTGGTTGTTGCAGACTCTTTGTCGTTGCTTTGTTTTGTTAACTCATGCGCGCAATTACGCTACTTAAGCGAGTACTTTCCATAGTCCTTATTCCACAACGCCACACTGCCAATGATGGTATTTAAAGCAAGCTAGCTGCCAATGTTACTGCGTCTACCGCTTTGTAAGTGTTTGCCGCAAACTTTCCAACATATTTAACCAAATCTAAAGTTTATTTTCCTTTTAAAGCTCATGCCCAAATGTGTACGAATACCCAAATCATGCGCGCCTACAGGGCGTATGAGTATCTTCTCACCTTACACGCGCGCTGTTTTGACAAGTGTTTCACATACGCCATGTCGTCGCGGTTCGAAGTTTGCATACTACTTTTAGCTACTTCAAAGTTAGTCTCATTTACTTCGCACACTAAATATATGCACATATATTGCCATTTTTATTTGCATACTTTTACTGAAGTTTCACTCGAAAAGCAAAATATTTTACAATATTTTATTTCTATTTAGATTATTTTGCTATAAAAATGTTACTTTTGCTTTTGAATGATAATAATAACTGCAAATTTAATACTTTTAAATTTATTTCTTTCAGCTAAAAGTACAAGAAGCAATGCGTAAAAAAGAAAAGTTTCAACGGGAACACGAGGAGGTAAGACCACATATATTAAAATTTTGTATGTTTTTTTTAAATTAAATTTAGTCCTATGGGTTTGTGCGATGTACGAACAGGCGCACGTCTTCTTTAAAAAAGCAAACATACTGAGGAATTTGAAAACGTTTTAAGAAATATTAGGGTTTCAAAATCAGATGCTGTAAGTGAGGCTTCTATTATAAGGAATGTGTTGAAACTCGTAAGCTATAAAATTGAGCGAGTTGCAAAATTCGTTTTAAGGCTATGCACTTAAAGAAAACCAAATTTGTGTGCTATAACCGCATATGTAAGTGATATTGTCCGTGCACAACACAAAATTTTTAATCTTTCCTTATTTTCGCTAGCTAGAGCTATAAGAAATCTTGATTCAAGCAAAGCATTCGGAAATTAACTACAGTTGATCCGGATTAAGTCCTAGAGTTCATTCCCAAAATTAATTCGGATCAAGAAAATTCTCATTGACAACGCTGGTAAAAACGGTCCGCTGTTGTCTATTGTATAAATAAGCAAACAAAGCAAGAGAGTTTGGCGTCTGCGGTAGCCAAGTGGTGATAGCCGTGTACTACAAGTCTGTAGGTCCCAGATTCGATCCTCGGTTGGAGCGATTACCAAAAATTTTTGGTTTTTACTTTACTCATTTTATTTTATTTCATTTCATTTATTGCGAAAAAAAAACATTAAAACAATAAGATCTATGATCTTTTATAGTACCACAAGTAACAGGAAGTGTCAGAAAAATAAAAAAAATATATGGTAGTTCTTAAAGCTAAGATTTACAATAAACATAAAAATAAAAATTCGTAGAACTAGGATTTATAATCAGGAGCGGTTCGAACCGTTTTTGCACATTTGGATTGGTTCGTCGAAGTGGTTTTTTGATCTTTGAACCGGGGTTTCGGTTCGGTTCAACGGTTCGAAAAATAAAAAAATAACGCGCAAGTTTAAGTGTCAAGTGCAATATCGCGCAAGGTTAAGGGTCAAATGTCTGTCAAATGAGATGGGTTTCCTTTACGTTGCCACGGTACGTACTACCATGTTAATAAAAAAGAAAAAAGTGGGTACGTTTATCTATTCAAAATTGGTTGAAACGAACCTTTAAACATTTATAGAAAGTGGTTCAGTTTACGGTTCGGATCAAACATTTGTGGAAAATTTCGGTTCGGTTAATGGTTCATGGTTGAAACGAACCTTTAAACATTTGTAAAAAGTGGTTCAGTTTACGGTTCGGATCAAACATTTGTGGAAAATTTCGGTTCGGTTAATGGTTCATGGTTGAAACGAACCTTTAAACATTTGTAAAAAGTGGTTCAGTTTACGGTTCGGATCAAACATTTGTGGAAAATTTCGGTTCGGTTAATGGTTCATGGTTGAAACGAACCTTTAAACATTTGTAAAAAGTGGTTCAGTTTACGGTTCGGATCAAACATTTGTGGAAAATTTCGGTTCGGTTAATGGTTCAGTTAATTAATAGAAAAAAGCGGTTTTCTGGTTCAAAGCCGGTTCGGTTCAAAACCGGCCCACGTCTCTGTTTATAATAAACACAAACTTAAAAATAATAATACAATGATTGTCCGTATTGGTCGAAAAGTATATATTTAGATAGCGAAACACATAATTGTGTAAAAAATATACGTATGTATATACTTGTTTTAATGAAAGTACAAATATAGAACGGACTTAAAGTTGCTTTTATTTTTACTACTGCGAATGGACATAGGAATAGAGTTCCATGTAGGAATAGCATTGACAAAGAATAGCCGTGCGGAGGTTCGATAATTATAACTTGGTACAATCAAGTCATTAGTTCGAGCTGACTTAGGGAAAATAAGCTTGTCATATAGATAGCTAGGGCTATTTATATATAATAAGTCGACAGAAAAAAACGTAGTGTCTGGCTTTCAGATAGTTAGCAATTTCGAAGCATAATAAACTCATTCTCCAACCAGAGATATGGTCAAATTTTGCAAACCCGAACACATAGCGTGTAGCATGGTTGAATGTAACATTAATTTTATGAGCAGATTTAGAACTCAGCTTACTGTAGACTAGTTCAGGGTAGCAAATGATTGACATTATTAGTTGTATCGCAAGTTTTTTCCTAACATGAACCGACGTAAAAGTTGCTGACATTCGTAAATTTCTGAACTATCGAGCTCACATGGTCATCACTGGTTAAGCTTGCGTTAATGATGAACCCGAGGTTAGTCACTTCACAAGCTTAAGAAACTTATCGGCAATACATAAAGCCGGGATATTTACAAAATTTATTCGTTTTCTAGATATAGGTAGCACATACGATTTTTCACTATTTAGACATAGCTCATTTCTTTTCGCTCAGGCAAAAATTGATGTTAAGTCATTATTTAACCTTGTACAGATTTGTCTTGTTTCCTCATGATTTCCAGACAGATATAGCTTTATATACATGCTGGCAAGCAGAAAAGATGTAATTTATAAAGATACTGAGTAATAGATCCTTGTGGCACACCAGCTAACAGTGGTTTAAGACCAGAAGCTTTAGAGCCAACTTTAACACAATGGGTTTTACCCGCCAAGTAGCTACGCATGAGACGCGTTGCGGAATGCACAAAACCCCAATAGTATTTTAACTTCAAGCAAAGTAAGTCATGGTTCACAGAGTCAAAAGCTTTGTAGAAGTCAAGTAGGCTTAATAGAGTCAATTGGTTTTTTGTCAAATGGTACTCTAATGCCATCCCAAATTTTTGAGATAGCCGTAGAGCAGCTGTGCTTTACTCTGAAGCCTGACTGGAACGGGTACAGCAGGCTAAATTTACCAATATGGTCAGGAACTTGTTCAGATATCAATAACTCGAAAACTTTAGAAAATGCGAGTAAAAGGCTTATTGGTCGAAAGTCACTGGGACTACACACATACTTGTTTTTAGCAATTGGTTGCACCATGGCAACCTTCCATGCATCAGGGAAACTTGAAGCTGTGATACTTGATTGATGGCATGCGTGAGCGTAGGCAGAATGTAATAATATAATTAGTAAAATATGTTCGGGCATGTTTTTTGTCAGGTTTTTCCAAAAAATATAAAGTTTGAGATATATTTCATAGAGCATATTTTAGCATATTTTGCAATAAATACATATTTCAGCATATCTTGCAGTAAATGCATATTTTCGGATACTTTGTGCTGCGTTGTTAGGTTTAGAATAAATAATAAAATTTTTTCGGTAATAATAACAATATAGTAACCAGGGACGTGAACCGGTTTTGAACCGAACCAGTTTTGAACCGGAAAACCGCTTTTTTCTATTAATTAACTGAGCCATTAACCGAACCTAAATTTTCCACAAATGTTTAATCCGAACCGAAAACCGAACCACTTTCCATAAAGGTTTAAAGGTTCGTTTCAACCAATTTTTAATAGATAAATGACCCACTTTTTTCTTTTTGTTAAACATGGTAATACCTACCATATTTGTTTACCATGTGACAATATCAAATGTAAAGGCAACCCAACTCCTTTTACAGACACCTGACCCTTAACCTTGCGTGTTGTTACACTTGACACTTGACACTTAAAAACTTGCGCGTTATTTTTTATACCCGAGCGCACTTGTGAACAAGGGTATTATAACTTTGTTCACATAACGGTTGTTTGACCGTCTGTGCACACGATAACTCGAGTGAAAATTGAGATATCTTAACGAAACTTTTACGTGCACTTCTTTCGGGCGTAGGACGGATGGTATTGAAAATGAGCAAAATCGGACGATGGATAATTTTGAAAAATACGAAATCTTCGATAAATCAGTAAATATTAAAGCTTATTTATTCAAAATTGATGCAACAATCATTTACCAAGAAATACGTTTATAATAAAATTTTGGAAAACGGGCGTGGCACCGCCCACTTATGATCACATATATGTATATCGGTAAGCGTTCTACCAATTTGTACCACACCAGGAATGGCTATTTTGCTTGCCAAATAAAAGCAAAACGTTGAAAATTATTGAAANTAAATAATAAAATTTTTTCGGTAATAATAACAATATAGTAACCAGGGACGTGAACCGGTTTTGAACCGAACCAGTTTTGAACCGGAAAACCGCTTTTTTCTATTAATTAACTGAGCCATTAACCGAACCTAAATTTTCCACAAATGTTTAATCCGAACCGAAAACCGAACCACTTTCCATAAAGGTTTAAAGGTTCGTTTCAACCAATTTTTAATAGATAAATGACCCACTTTTTTCTTTTTGTTAAACATGGTAATACCTACCATATTTGTTTACCATGTGACAATATCAAATGTAAAGGCAACCCAACTCCTTTTACAGACACCTGACCCTTAACCTTGCGTGTTGTTACACTTGACACTTGACACTTAAAAACTTGCGCGTTATTTTTTATACCCGAGCGCACTTGTGAACAAGGGTATTATAACTTTGTTCACATAACGGTTGTTTGACCGTCTGTGCACACGATAACTCGAGTGAAAATTGAGATATCTTAACGAAACTTTTACGTGCACTTCTTTCGGGCGTAGGACGGATGGTATTGAAAATGAGCAAAATCGGACGATGGATAATTTTGAAAAATACGAAATCTTCGATAAATCAGTAAATATTAAAGCTTATTTATTCAAAATTGATGCAACAATCATTTACCAAGAAATACGTTTATAATAAAATTTTGGAAAACGGGCGTGGCACCGCCCACTTATGATCACATATATGTATATCGGTAAGCGTTCTACCAATTTGTACCACACCAGGAATGGCTATTTTGCTTGCCAAATAAAAGCAAAACGTTGAAAATTATTGAAATCAGACTAAAATTGAGGCCGCTTTTCATATAACGGTAAATTTCAGAAATGCTTGAAACTTCAATATTTCGAAATTTAAGGACACTAAATTATTCAAAATTGATACACCCCGGCTTACCATATGTTGCGGTAGCTTTCGGAAAGGTGAAAATCATATATTTAATACTTGCGCCGGGTATTTAATGTTCGGCTCCGC